CAGTGATGTCACTGGCCTGTAGTGAATGGATAGGCTGCATTCTCAGTGATGTCACCGCTCTCTAGTGAATGGATAGACTGCATTCTCAGTGATGTCACCAGTCTCTAGTGAATGGATAGACTGCATTCTCAGTGATGTCACTGGTCTGTAGTGAATGGATAGGCTGCATTCTCAGTGATGTCACTGGTCTCTAGTGAATGGATAGGCTGCATTCTCAGTGATGTCACCGGTCTCTAATGAATGGATAGGCTGCATTCTCAGTAATGTCATAGGTCTCTAGTGAATGGATAGGCTGCATTCTCAGTGATGTCACTGGTCTCTAGTGAATGGATAGGCTGCATTGTCAGTGATGTCACCGATCTCTAGTGAACAGATAGGCTGCATTCTCAGTGTGATGTCACTGGTCTCTAGTGAAGGGATAGACTGCATTCTCAGTGATGTCACTGGTCTCTAGTGAATGTCACTGGTCTCTAGTGAACGGATAGGGGATAGACTGCATTCTCAGTGATGTCACTGGTCTCTAGTGAATGGATAGGCTGCATTGTCTCAGTGATGTCACTGGTCTCTAGTGAATGGATAGGCTGCATTGTCAGTGATGATGTCACTGGTCTCTAGTGAAGGGATAGGCTGCATTCTCAGTGATGTCACTGGTCTCTCTCAAGTGAACGGATAGACTGCATTCTCAGTGATGTCACTGGTCTCTAGTGAATGGATAGGCTGCATTCTCAGTGATGTCACTGGTCTCTAGTGAATGGATAGGCGGCATTCTCAGTGATGTCACCTGTCTCTAGTGAAGGGATAGGCTGCATTCTCAGTGATGTCACTGGTCTCTAGTGAATGGATAGGCTGCATTCTCAGTGATGTCACTGGTCTCTAGTGAATGGATAGGCTGCATTCTCAGTGATGTCACTGGTCTCTAGTGAACGGATAGACTGCATTCTCAGTGATGTCACTGGTCTCTAGTGAATGGATAGGCTGCATTCTCAGTGATGTCACTGGTCTCTAGTGAATGGATAGGCTGCATTCTCAGTGATGACTGTCATAGACTGCATTCTCAGTGATGTCACTGGTCTCTAGTGAATGGATAGGCGGCATTCTAGTGATGTCACTGGTCTCTAGTGAATGGATAGGCTGCATTCTCAGTGATGTCACTGGTCTCTAGTGAATGGATAGGCTGCATTGTCAGTGATGTCACTGGTCTCTAGTGAACGGATAGACTGCATTCTCAGTGATGTCACTGGCTCATAATAAGGAACTTTGGTAATGTTCTCCGGACTTTTTAGAAATAATCTTTCGTTTTCAGCCCATAATAGACATTCAGTCCTAGGTGGTCAATTTCCTCTCTTCCACTGAACAGTAAATTTTTCACTACATGATGGATGTCTGACAGGCGCACCACAGAAATGACAGATTCCATTACTTGCTGAAAATAAATATCTGAATATGGGAGGATTAATCACCCCGTGCTGCATTTCTTGATGCCTAATAAAAAAGAATTTGGTAACATAAATTTGATACAAAAGACATTCAGTTAGTCATTGTATGACATCATTTGATATAGCTGTATGCTGAACATTGTCATCAAATATTCAGGGAAACTTGAGTCTTTCCACACAGTAACATTCCATCTGCTTTACATAAATATTCTTTACAAGGGCGATATAAGGACGTCCACCCAGGAAAATGTCAAGCAATGCTCTCAATGCGTTTTCCTTCTGCGCCAGTAACAAGCAAGAAAAGACAGACATAAAAAATAGTAAAAATAGAACAATTTCACTTAGGGCACATGAAATAAGCACCAAAGATTAGTCACAAGGAACATAAAGACCAATTGTGGGCTCAAAATCCACCCTGATTACCCCTTCCCTGCACTGAAGCCCCCCAAACCTTTGAAAAAAATCTGTATACATAGCTTTTTTTTCAGGGGGTCCTTGGTCTAGTTGGGCGACATTACAGGTTCTCTTCATTCTCCATAGCTGGGTAGATCCTGAATGTAGTACTCTCCCGTGAATCCAGGGCAAAGGGGTGGGGCCTAGACACCCTAGGTTCACAGGAAGTGGGTTGTAAGACACTGGGCGTCATTCAACCTGTTATAGGATGTACAAATATAAGGAACAATCTGTGTCTAGTTGCTCCTTCCTTGCGTTATATATGACGCCTGTATACTGGTTATAACACGGGTGTTTGAGTGGATCCTTCAAGATGCATATGGGAAGTGTGCATAGGATTCAGTACTTCAATAGTTGAACATGCCAGGCATTGTGAGGTCAGGCACTGATGTCGGCCGAGAAGGCCTGGCTCGCAATCCCCCCTACACCAAACTTTACATTGGGCACAATGCAGTCAGGCAAGTACCGTTCTCCTGGCAACTGCAAAAAACCCAGACACATCCATCAGATTCCCAGACAGAGAAGAGTGTTTGGTCACTCCAGAGAACACGTCTCCACTGCTCTAGAGTCCAGTGGCGGCGTGCTTTACACCACTGCATCCGATGCTTTGCATTGCACTTGGTGATGTAAGGCTTTGATGCAGCTGCTCGGCCATGGAAACCCATTCCATGAAGCTCTCTATGCACTGTTGTTGTGCTAATCTGAAGGCCACAAGAAGTTTGGAGGTCTTTAGCTATTGACTTTGCAGACAGTTGGCGACTTCTGCGCACTATGCGCTTCAGCATGCACTGACCCCGCTCTGTCATTTTACGTGGCCTACCACTTGGTGGCTGAGTTGCTGTTGTTCCCAGTTGCTTCCACTTTGTTATAATCCCACTAACAGTTATCCGTGGAATATGTAGTAGTAAGGAAATGTCACGGATGGACTTATTGCACAGGTGACAACCTATCACAGGACCACGCTTAAGAGTCACTGAGCTCCTGAGAGCGACCCATTCTTTCACAAATGTTTGTAGAAGCAGTCTGCATGCCTAGGTGCTTGATTGTATACACCTGTGGCCATGGAGGTGATTGGAACACCTGAATCCAATCATTTGGAGGGTGGGGACAATACTTTTGGCAACATAGTGTATGTGCAAATGCAGATGCACAGTTGCCCCAATGGTATAAAAAAAGGGTCTCCAAACTTTCTAAATGTAGGGCCAGTTTACTGTCCATCAGACTTTTGGGTGGCCGGACTGTGGCCATTGGGAGTAGAAATGGTCTTGGCATCAGTGGGAGTAAACAATGCATCTTTGGTATTGTGGGCAGGAATAGTGACCCTTCACTGGTGTAAGTGGGAGGAATAGTGCCCCATCATTGGTGTCAGTTTGAGGAACGGTGTCCTATTGTGTCGGGGGGGGGGGGGGGGGGTAGTGCCTTATCAATGGTGTCAGTGGGAGGAATAGTGCCGCATAATTAATGACAGTTTACGGAATGGTGTCCTATTGTGTCAGTGGGAGGAATAGTGCCCCATCATTGGTGTCAGTTTGAGGAATGGTGTCCTATTGTGTCAGTGGGGGGAAATGTGCCCCATCAATGGTGTCAGTGGGAGGAATAGTGCCCCATCATTGGTGTCAGTTTGAGGAATGTTGTCCTATTGTGTCAGTTGCAGGAATAGTGCCCCATCATTGGTGTCAGTGGGAGGAATAGTGCCCCATCATTGGTGTCAATGGGAGAAATAGTGTCTCATTGTTGATGTCAGTAGCAGTATTTATGCCTCATTGTTGGTGGGAGGAAAGGAATAGTGCTCCATCATTGGTGTCAGTGGAAGGAATAGTACCTTGTATCAGTGGGAGGAAAGTGCCCTGAGGGCTAGATAAAGGTAAGCAAAGGACCACATATGGCCCCCGGGCCGCAGTTTGGGGACCACTGGTATAAAGGAATAGTCCCCCGCCTGCTACCTATGGAATACACTTTTTTTTTCTTTTTTAAGATTAGTGATACTTGTTTTATGAAGTCAGCATTGTACTGACTATTCTCATATGAGAAAAGAACTTCAGTGGCCGCTCCTTGCATTGCTAGGGTCCTTGGTTTGAAAACGCACTTAGGACACCATCTGTGCTTGCATGGGTTTCTTCTGGGTACGTCAGTTTCCTCCCACTTTACAAAAGACATGCTGATAAGTTATAGCGGTAGTAAACTCATGTTTTATTTCTACCTACAGGTAAGTTTACAATGAGGCTTACCTCTAGATAAAATGAAGATCCGCTAAACGTGCACCATTTAGGAGATATTCTAGCAAACTACAGCCGGTGACTTTACTGACGCATGCCCTCTGAAGGAACGGCATAACCGTGCCCTTCATTCACAGCTCTGTGCCGCGGCCGAAATGCCCATGCACGAGAGTGACGTCATCGCAGCTTGGCTAGTCATATGGCCAGAGCCTGCAGACCCGGAAGGAGGACCAGGTGAAGACGGAAGCCTCTGTAGCGGTGACAAAGCGCCGCTGGAGCGCTTCATTTTCAGGTTAGTCTTTCATAATGTGCCAGTATGTGGTGCATACTAAGCGGAATGCGTAAGTAGTTAGCACTTCTGTCTGGCAGCACTAGGGTTGTAGGTTTGAATCCCAATCATGGCACCACCTGCCTGGAGTTTGCATGTTCTCCCTTTGCCTGCTTGGATTACCTCCAGATACTTTGGTTTCCTCCCACACTCCAAAGACATGCTGGGAGCAGGAGCAGACTGACCATTTAAAAACTTGGGCACTGCCCGAGGGCCCGGGGTCAGTAGGAGGCCCCATGAGATGCCCCTGGTACCTTTTTCATAGGCTTTTTTGAGTTTGGGCAGGGACACAGGGGCCCCATGATCCTCTATTGCCCGGGGGTCCCATGAGTTGTCAGTCTGCCCCTGGCTGGGAGGTGAATTAGCTCTGGTCTAAATTGGCCCTAGTATGTGTATGTATGAATGTGAGTTAGGGACCTTAGATTGAAGGCAGGAACTGATGTGAATGTACAGTATATAAAGCTCTGTGTAAATTGTTGTTACTATACAAATACCTAGAATAAATAAATGACGATGTAATGTGGAGCGGTCCCTCATTTATACATAAATACATTAGAGAACGCTTACCTGCTGAGCCCGTGTCACCATATCTCTGTACACCGTGTCCAAACTAGCATTGGTCAAGGAGGCCAGCGCAGATACAATCGTTTCTGCTTGAGTTTTGTCAAACCCTACAAAAAAATAAATAAATAAATAAAATCAATTCATCACCAATGAAAGGTCAATGTAATGCTTTAAAACTGTAATACCACATTATCACCTGCATGTGTCACTGTTCCACACTATGTATAGGGAAAGTTACCGGCCTACTTAGATCAGTTTTTCCTCCATTAGGAGCATTGACTGTTACATCTTATTGTCCGGCTGATCTTGTCAATTCTTCAGTATTTTTGCGCCATATATTGACATTGAAATAATCCAGTTGGCAGTTAGAGGAATTCTTCCAAATAATTTCACTGCTAAATCTGCTGCAATCCATTACTCTCTGAGACAGATACAGTCAGGTCCATAAATATTGGGACATGTCTTTTTTCCAACAGTGGGACTTTGCGGGGGCTTCTTGCAGATAGCTTGGCTTCACATAGGCGTCTTCTAATTGTAACAGTCCTCACAGGGAACTTTACACCTTCTTTCATCTTCCTGGAGCTGATTGTTGGCTGAGTCCTTGCCATTTTGGCTATTCTTCTATCCATTCCAATGGTAGTTTTTCGCTTTCTTCCACGTCTTTCAGGTTTTGGTTGCCATTTTAAAGCATTTGCGATCATTTTAGCTGAGCAGCCTATCATTTTCTGCACTTCTTTATATGTTTTCCCCTCTCCAATCAACTTTTTAATCAAGGTACTCTGTTCTTCTGAAACAATGTCTGGAACGACCCATTTTCCTCAGAATTTCAGAGAGAAATGCACTGTAACCAGCATGTACAACATTTGCTGCCTTCCTTCCTTAAATAAGGGCAATAATTGCCACCTGTTTTTCAAAGAATGAATGACCTCACTAATAGAACTCCACACTGCTATTATTTTGAACATGCCCCTTTCAATGAGTGATTCAATGACACAGAATCAGCAGCATGTATGTCATGACTGTTGGGTCTGTTGGATTTCTATTACTCTACTACACCTGCTAGTAAATTATTTGCCATGTAGAAATATCATTTCTACCAAAAACAGTGATTGATCCGGTGTGTGTGTGTGTGTGTGTGCACATATATATAATTTTTTTTTTTAAATATATTGAATACGGCCAAAATTGTAGTCTTTCAAATATATGTCAATATATTTGGGAAGAATATTTTTTTAAAATAGACTTAAAATATATTTTTTTTCTTCCATGTGGGTTTATTCCTTCTGCTATCAGCATGAATTACTTCTGACAAGTTTTCCTGACAACAAGAGAAAAATGGTGACAGGGGAGGGACCTCCAGCTGATTGACAGCCTCAGCTCTGTTTCTGTGAGCTGTGCGAAGGGAGGTGTGTCCCTGCCCTCCAATCAGCTCTCTGAGCTCTCCTCACTGAGCTTTGCAGAGTGTGCCTTCAGCTTTCCACCCCCTCTTTTCTGAACTCTCAGACAAGATTTAGAAATTCAGTATTTTGAATGGATGTAGAGAAGATAAAACTACAGATAAACTGGTACTACTTATGTAGAAGGATTTGTTTCCTCCCTGTGTATCATCTGAGAACACTCACTTCACTGGGTATATGGATGGGTTTACAACCACTTTAACTGGGAAAAAAAAAAGGAGGAAGTAGAGAGTGGGATGGTGTTTGCTACGCGTAAACATGTCCAGTGATTTGGAACAATGTGAAGCTTGATTCATCTAACCGTATTACAATCTTCAATTGATCGATAGTCCACGATTTATGGGGTGTTGCACCACTCTCTCTTCTTGGTTTTACAATTGCTGCTCACCCATGAATGTTTTGCCTATGGAGTTCCCTCCACACAGTTTTTGTGGACACGGGAAGACTGAGATTGAGCTCTGCAGTCACTTTTGCAGCAGTTGTGTTCTCATTCCGGGTCACAATCCTGCGCAATGTCCTTTTGTCGGTCATTTGACCATATTGACTGCTCTTATGCTTATCAGATGACATTTTCCCAGGAAACTGTACACTCACTGACCACTTTTTCTGTTCAATTGTAAATAAAAGTGCAACGCTTATAATAAACAAATGATGAATAATATAAAACCGTGCGATCTCATATGCAAACCAATATAATACAAACAAAAAGTCCCATGAAAAGTCCACCATAAAAAGTGCAAGTCCAGCGCCGTCCTCACAGAGAAGAGAAAAGGACAGCACTGGACTTACACTTGATGTCAGCTCTGACGATACGCGTTGGGCGGGGCCACAGGAAGTGACGTTGTTTCGCTGGTCGAGACGTGCAAGACACGAGCGGAGGGGGAAATATATTGTGAAGATTGTACGATTACTGCTTGGCTATTTTTCACTCTTGTGAGTAGTTTTATTTTGAATAAATTGTGAGGCTTTACATTTACTACACTATGAGAGTCCCTTGTGTCTCTATTCATTTTTATTGATGCCTTTGAGATGCTAAACCCAGAGGAACCATGCTATTCAAGGTATGTATATCCTAAGCGCGGATTGATTTGAAGCCTTTATGGCCATACCTTAACCTCCCTGGCGGTATGATTATTTCAGATTTTTGGTGCTGAAAGCGGTACCATTTTTTTGCATGGAAATATGTATTTTTTTTATTGTAGGCTGTAATTTTTAGGAAAAACTCACTGAAATCTGTCCGATCAAGAGTCTAGTAAGCATCCCGGGTATGATAAAATTTGAAACACAAAATCATAAATTATAATTTAATAAATAATCATAAAAATAATATAAAAATAATAAAAAATTTAATTCAATAATATAATCAAACCAAAAACACTGAAATGTGAAATAGAGCGCCAAGTTCGCACATTGCTGAGCTCAGTCGCAAAATCGTTTTCAGTGTCTGATGACAAATTTTCCCCACGAATCATTATCACTCAATTCTGTAAGTGGTTCTGATTTACTATCGCTGTTCTCTAGCTGATCTAAACCGCTTTTGACCTAAAGGGACACTTTTTGGACGCCGTGGACATTTCTCAGTTTCCAGGCAGAAAGAACAGACAAAATGCAGGCAGGGCGCCGGACAAAGCACTCGGGACAAAATGTATGTGAAATTGGTTGAGACAGCAATGTTTTACTATGTAAAATGTAAAAAAAAAAAAAATGACATTTTTTAAAATTTTTAAATTTCCCGCCGCCGGCGGCGCCCGTACGTCCCGACGTCACAGGGACAGGACACAGAAGCCGGATGCCGGCATCGGCCGAAGGAGATGGCCAGGGACGCTGCAGGGGACACATCGTGGGAGCGCAGGGTAAGGTAAGTGAAGAACACATGCCGGAGCAGTGCCGCATGGTATTCCCGAGTGTAGCTCGGGGTTACCGCTTTTGGTACTGAAATGTTACCCCGAGCTACACTCGGGAATACCGCCAAGGAGGTTAATCGGTGGTCCATCATTTGGCAAGGGTCCAATCATACGCACAGTGGTGAAGTGTCTCGCTTTTTCGCCTTTGCTTCACACTGATGTCACTGGTCTCTAGTGAATGGAGAGGCTGCATTCTCAGTGATGTCACTGGTCTCTAGTGAATGGAGAGGCTGCATTCTCAGTGATGTCACTGGTCTCTAGTGAATGGAGAGGCTGCATTCTCAGTGATGTCACCGGTCTCTAGTGAATGGATAGGCTGCATTCTCAGTGATGTCACTGGTCTCTAGTGAATGGAGAGGCTGCATTCTCAGTGATGTCACCGGTCTCTAGTGAACGGATAGGCTGCATTCTCAGTGATGTCACCGGTCTCTAGTGAACGGATAGGCTGCATTCTCAGTGATGTCACCGCTCTCTAGTGAACGGATAGGCTGCATTCTCAGTGATGTCACCTGTCTCTCGTGAATGGTAGGCTGCATTCTCAGTGATGTCACCGGCCTCTAGTGAATGGATAGGCTGCACTCTCAGTGATGTCACCAGTCTCTAGTGAAGGGATAGGCTGCATTCTCAGTGATGTCACTGGTCTCTAGTGAATGGATAGGCTGCATTCTCAGTAATGTCACCGCTCTCTAGTGAATGAATAGGCTGCATTCTTAGTGATGTCACCGGTCTCTAGTGAATGGATAGGCTGCATTCTCAGTGATGTCACCGCTCTCTAGTGAATGGATAGGCTGCATTCTCAGTGATGTCACCGGTCTTTAGTGAAGGGATAGGCTGCATTCTCAGTGATGTCACCGGTCTCTAGTGAAGGGATAGGCTGCATTCTCAGTGATGTCACTGGCCTCTAATGAATGGATAGGCTGCACTCTCAGTGATGTCACTGGTCTCTAGTGAAGGGATAGGCTGCATTCTCAGTGATGTCACTGGTCTCTAGTGAAGGGATAGGCTGCATTCTCAGTGATGTCACAGGCTCATAATAACGAACTTATTCACACATAATCAGAAAAGCTGCTGTAAGTGACAGGGAACATAAGAAAAGTAATGTTCTCCGGACTTTTCAGGAAATAATCTTTCATTTTCAGCCCATAATATCCATTCAGTCCTAGGTGGTCAATTTCCTCTCTTCCACTGAACAGTAAATTTTTCACTACATGATGGATGTCTGACAGGCGCACCATGAAAATGACAGATTCCATTACTTGCTGGTCGCATCATTTGGTAAGGGTCCAATCCTATGCACAGTGGTGGATTGGTGGAAGTGTCTAGCTTTTTCTCCTTTGCTTCACATTGATTTGGAAGATCCCTTTTCTCTTTTTTGTGAGGACGGCGCTGGACTTGCACTTTTTATAGTGGACTTTTTCATTATATTATATTGGTTTGCATATGAGATCGCACGGTTTTATATTATTTATCATTTGTTTATTATAAGCTCTGCACTTTTATTTATATTTATTTTTTAGAGTTTGTATCATCACTCTTGGTGCCAGCAGCTATTACTTATTGTTGCACCTGAGCGCAGAACTTTTATACATAACATCTGTTCAATTGCTGGGTAACACAATTTTCTAATCAGCCAATCACATGGCAGCAACTCAATGCATTTAGGGCTCATGTACACTGCAGCTGATAAACTCGCGTTTAGGAGCTGTTCAGCGTTTTTTTTCCAGCAGCCCCTGAACTCTCCCTAATGTTTTCCTATGTGTCTATGTACACACCTTCTACAGGCACATCTTCATTTACAGGCATTTGAGTTTACAGTCGTTTTTTTTTTGAATGCAGAAAACTTGCGTTCAGCAGTTTAAAAAGCAAAACGCTAGTAAACGTGGCAAATCGCATTTATAAGTGTTTGCATTTGAAATTTTTTTTAACTCTTCCAGTTCCCAATGCTGTCCAGAGCCTTTGTTCATCATGAAAAATGCATGCAAAGTGTTTTCAAGGTACTCAGATGGACAAAACACTGAACACAGGATGTTCCTACCAAGCTTGTCACACATTGTAATGACCAATTCACACCTCAGACCTCTCCCACCCTTGGAAACAAAAGATATGTTAATGACCATTCACACCTCAAATTCATCATGAAGACCCTCTGCCAGGTGACCTTAATGACTCACTCCACCAGACACCTTTCCCACCCTAGGAAAAAAAGAAATGTTAATGACCATTCACACCTCAAATTCCTCATGAAGACCCCCTGCCAGGTGGCCTTAATGACTCTCTCCACCAGACACCTTTCCCACCCTTGGAAACAAAAGAAATGTTAATGAGCAACTCACACCTAAGCTAACCTCAACACATACTGCTGTCTCTGCTTCTACTCTCTGAAACAGTTAATAATTTACCAATTTTCAGTGCATTCTGGGCATTTGGGAGGTTCTCCTGTGCTTATCTTTAAAAAACCGCTTCTAAACGCAAACGCGCATAAACGAGTTATGCAAACGCGGCTAAACAGACGGTTTTTAACCTACGTTTTCCAGCAGTCAGTTTCCATCGTTCAGAAGTGGCCCGTGTACATGGGGCCTTAGGTATGTAGACGTGATGAAGACGACTTGCTGAAGTCCAAAACCGAGCATCAAAATGGGGAAGAAAGGGGATTTAAGTGACTTTGAACGTGGCATGGTTGTTGGTGCCAGACAGGCTGGTCTGAGTATTTCAAAAACTGCTGACTATAAATAGAGAAGGCATAAAAAAGTATAATAATCATCCCAACAACAATACATTGTACTCAGCTTTGTGCCTGCTTTTTTACATTCTGTCTGGATGTACAGTAAACGTATTGCTCGTTCCTTGACACACCTTGTGAACGTACAAGAGATAACCTGCATTGATCCTATAAACTGGCAGGCGATTGCATCGTGGTAACAATATATGCTGACAGGGTCCTTTGTCAGGGCAGGAAGATAAGTGGAAACCAATCTGGCGTCCTTGCCGTACCCTTGTCCAGCAACAGATCGATAAGCCTGCCACACTTGCAACCAAATCTGCCAGGAAGATCTGCTCTGATCGATGCCGCACTCGATTTCACAATATCATTTCTATCAGGGACTGGACACTCGAGAAGAGATCTCATTAATAATTCAATGATGTTAAATGAGCATTCTAGCCAATGCAGGAAAAGCTATTTTTATGCAGCTATACTGGTCTCTGAGCACACACAAGTGTCTTCTGGCTTTGATCTAAGAAGTCTTACTACTCTTGCTGCACACAGGCTGATACAACACTATTGGGATCATGGAGACATGGCAGCTACGATCTGTGTCACATCCCCACTTACCTACCAATATAGTTGGCGTGAGCCTGATCAGAAGTTTCAGGTAGTGAGCAATTGGGGATATGTAAATTTAGGAATGAATGCAAACAATTGAAATATACAGTTTAATCACCTCCCGCCCAGCCTATTGTAAAAAATGATGGCTGGGTGGGAGCGACGCTATCCTGGGTGGATGTCATATGACGTCCTCCAGTCCCGTGCCTCCTGCATGCTCTGGTGGCTGTGCTGCGGCGTGCACAACCGTACTGGGAACCGAGGTTCCCGTGCGGGCTGCGATTTCCCAATTAAACTGAAGCATGACCACGGGACCACACTCAGACATAATGATGTATGATCTGTGCATCCAGGAGCTGCTGCCTATCATAGGGGTCTGTGCCTTACTGTCCCTTACTGGCTAAGCTTACTGACATGCAATCCAAAGGTGACAACACTGTTCCTGTTTAGGTGCTGCTCTGGCAGTGTTGTCACCCTAAGACAAGATGCAGCAATCGTGATTGTAATTGGCAGGATCAACAGGTTGAATAAAAGTGAAATAAAGAGGAAGAAATGAAAAAATAATAGAGGAACTGAAACAACGAATGGTATTTAGGTAATTTTGATAATAAGGTTTAGGATATACTTTAAAACAAATATAACCCAGGAGAAAAAATGTATATATTGCAACTTTCCAGTGCTGAGGTGTGATGGTTGCATTAGTTTTATTTTATTTTCACCTGGTGATCCTGCCATTAATGCATATTATAGTGCCCCCTCACATGAGGTGTCCCCATCAGCATACCCCCTTACATCGGGTGTCCCCGTCAGAGTGCCGCCTTACATCGGGTGTCCCCGTCTCAGTGCCCCCTTACATCGGGTGTCCCCGTCAGAGTGCCCCCTTACATCGGGTGTCCCCGTCGCAGTGCCCCCTTACATCGGGTGTCCCCGTCGCAGTGCCCCCTTACATCGGGTGTCCCCGTCGCAGTGCCCCCTTACATCGGGTGTCCCCGTCGCAGTGCCCCCTTACATCGGGTGCCCCCGTCGCAGTGCCCCCTTACATCGGGTGCCCCCGTCGCAGTGCCCCCTTACATCGGGTGCCCCCGTCGCAGTGCCCCCTTACATCGGGTGCCCCCGTCGCAGTGCCCCCTTACATCGGGTGCCCCCGTCGCAGTGCCCCCTTACATCGGGTGTCCCCGTCGCAGTGCCCTCTTACATCGGGTGTCCCCGTCGCAGTGCCCCCTCTTACATCGCAGGCCCCCTTACATCGGGTCCCCGTCGCAGTGCCCCCTTACATCGGGTGTCCCTGTCGCAGTGCCCCCTTACATCGGATGTCCCCATCGCAGTACCCCCTTACATCGGGTGTCCCCATCGCAGTACCCCCTTACATCGGGTGTCCCCATCGCAGTACCCCCTTACATCGGGTGTCCCCATCGCAGTGCCCCCTTACATCAGGTGTCCCCATCAGTGTGCCCCCTGCTCCTTTTAGCACCAGGCAGACAGAGGACAGCAGCCAGGAGTCAGAGCAGGCTTCAGGTCTGGATGAAGTTCCATCATTGGTTGTTGGGACGTCAGCAGTCCTAGCAAGCAATGACTGCAGAGGTGGGGGGGACCTGCTAGGGACAAGCTGTGCTTGCAGTCTGGAAAGGACGGTCACTCAGTCTAGGCTCTGGTCTGCCATATGTTGATGGCTGTCCTGGGGTGACAACACTCACTACAATGTATCTATACAGAATCAGTGTTGTCACGCTAGGACAGGAAGTGTGCTAGAGTTTCAGAGCACCTCTCCCTCTCCTCTACCATACAGTATGCTGGGAGGTGTTCAGTAGTCATAACACACTTCCTGGTAACATTGGTTGAGATAACTCAGCAGAGTGCACAGCACATCACTGGATTTCTGGCAGGATCAACAATGAGACAGATATAATACTACATTCTCAATGGTATATATAACAGACCACAAGGGAGTCATCTACAGTGAAATCTCCTCACCATGTGTCTCCAGGTCGCACACCAGAGCGTGTGTGTCGAAGGTTAACTTCCTCTGTTCTGGCGGCGTTATCTCCACCCTCCGGACATCATAGCTGGACAGGAGCTTTGTAGAAGTAAACAGCCCTGCAATGATAGGCAACCAATCAGGATGGAGCTAAGGGCAGAAAGTAAACACAAGAGCTCTGTGCTGGCCCTTGGGAGGAGTTATGTAAATATCACATTGCCTTGATGGGTGGGTGTCAGTATGGAGGAATGGTTGTTCCCGGTCCCACTGTATTTGCATGCAGACCACCCCAGGTAACACCCACATGTGACATTGAGCCACCATGATTAATGGAACTGAAATAGGACGGGACCCCTGAGCTTCACAGGTCATGTAATGGAACCTCCCAAGCTTTATAGGTCATGTGAGCTTTAGAACTCATGGGATGGGACCCTCCGAACTTCAAGAGGTCATGGGATGGAACCCTAAACTTTATAGGTCAAAGGATGGGACCCTGTGCTTTATAGGTCATGTGATAGGACCCACCCGAACTTCAATGGGGATGGAAGCCCAAACTTTATAGGTCATGTGATAGGACCCACACCGAACTTCAATGGGGACGGAAGCCCAAACTTTATAGGTCATGTGATAGGACCCACCCGAACTTCAATGGGGATGGAAGCCAAAACTTTATAGGTCATGTGATGGGACTCCCCCTCATCCTGAGTACTATAGGTCATGTGATAGGACCGCCCCTGAGCTTTATAGGTCATGTGATAGGACCCCCTCCAAGCTTTATAAATCATGGATAGGACCCTGTGCTTCATAGATCATGTGGTGGGGCCCTCTGAGCTTTATAGATCATGTGATGGACCCCCCCCCCCAGCCTCATAGGTCATGTGCTGGAACCCCCCTCAAGCTTCATAGGTCATGTGAACCCCCTCAAGCTTCATAGGTCATGCGATGGAACCCCCCTCAAGCTTCATAGGTCATGCGATGGAACCCCCCTCAAGCTTCATAGGTCATGCGATGGGACCCCCAGGCTTCATAGCTCATGCGATGGGACCGCCAGGCTTCATAAGTCATGTGATGGGATCCCCCCAGGCTTCATAGGTCATAAGATGGGACTCCCAGGCTTCATAAGTCATGTGATGGGACCCGCCAGGCTTCATAGGTCATATGATGGGACCCCCCAGGCTTTATAGGTCATGTAATGGGACCCCCCAGGCTTCATAGGTCATGTAATGGGACCCCCCAGGCTTCATAGGTCATGTGATGGGACCCCCAGGCTTCATAAGTCATGTGATGGGACCCCCAGACTTCATAAGTCATGTGATGGGACCCCCAGACTTCATATGTCATGTGATGGGACTCCCAGGCTTCATAGGTCATGTGATGAGACCCCCCAGGCTTCATAGGTCATGTGATGGGACCCCCAGGCTTCATAAGTCATGTGATGGGACCCCCAGACTTCATGTCATGTGATGGGACTCCCAGACTTCATAGGTCATGTGATGGGACCCCAGGCTTCATAGGTCATGTGATGAGACCCCCCAGGCTTCATAGGTCATGTGATGAGACCCCCCAGGCTTCATAGGTCATGTGATGAGACCCCCCAGGCTTCATAGGTCATGTGATGAGACCCCCCAGGCTTCATAGGTCATGTGATGGGACCCCCCCAGGCTTCATAGGTCATGTGATGGGACCCCCCCAGGCTTCATAGGTCATGTGATGGGACTCCCAGACACACTGGGCTTGACTCTTCCAGGCGTTTTGAAAGTTTGTAGACATCAGTGACCCAGATCCCTGCCACACCCAATCAGATCACACCCAGATCGCCTCACCTCTCCTCCTCCAACGTTCTGATTGGCCGGCCTGGCACACTGAGGATGGCTGATCAGCAGCTGGTAGAGAAGTCTAGACATCCCCGAGCCCCTCATCTCCTCCCAGATATTCAGATCTCACAGCTCTCCCTGTGTGTGGGCGTGTCCTCCGTCTCTACCTCACTTCCGGCCTGCCGCTCTGCATGCTGGGGGCTGTAGTCTCCTCTGTGACCTCTGTGTACACGTGGCTCCACAGCTCTCAGAAGAAGTAACATTCCTGTCACTCTACCAGATTGTCTGTGCTGTGGAGGGTGGAGCAGGCTGCTATTGGAATCCAAAATGTCATTGGAACAATAAAGATTTGTTTTGTTGAATTCCTTCTTTGAGATGACATAATAATTGAATTGGTGAGGCGTGAGGAGTGCAGTACCTCACACTGCTGAGAACGTTGTTACGTAACCCTTCAGAGTAGAAATAAATATATACTGCAGTTTACTAAACGTGATGGCCGCATTACTTTTCATTCTCCAGGTCTTTTTCTTTTACTTAATAATCCTCAGTAACTCAGGACTTCCTGTCTCAGGGTGACAACGCTCACACACTGTATTGTATGGAGGAGCAGCGTTGTCACCCACGGAGAGGAAGTATGTCAGAGTACAGAACACCTCCTTCTCTTCTCATCTCTATAACATAAAGGTGTTCTAACACACTTCCTGTCCCCTGGTTGACAAATGCTGCTCCTCCATACAATACAGTGAGTGAGCGTTGTCACCTTGGGACAGGAAGTGAGTTAGGACTATAGAACACCTCCCTCTCTTCTCAAGTCTGTAACATGAGGGGTTCTGTAGTCCTAATACACTTCCTGCCCTGGGGTGACAGCACTCAGTTTACTGCATGTGTGGAGAATCAGCCTGTCACCCTAAAACAGGAAGTGTATTAGGACTACAAAACCCCTCATGTTATAGACTTGAGAAGAGAGGGAGGTGTTCTGTAGTCCTAACTCACTTCCTGTCCCAAGGTGACAACGCTCACTCACTGTATTGTATGGAGGAGCAGCATTGTCACCCAGGGACAGGAAGTATGTGTCAGAGCAGCGTTGTTACAGAATTAGCAGCGTTGTCACCCAGGGACAGGAAGTATGTCATGTTATAACTTAGGTGAGCAGTGTTAACGTCACTCCAGCATTGACAGGAAGTATGTCAGAATTACAGAGCATTACAGAGTCAGAATTACAGAGCAGCGTTGTCACGCAGCGTTGTCACCCAGAGACAGGAAGTATGTCAGAATTACAGAGCAGCGTTGTCACCCAGAGACAGGAAGTATGTCAGAATTACAGAGCACCTTCCTCTCTTCTTATCTCTATAACATAAAGGTGTTCTAACACACTTCCTATCCTAGGGTGACAGCACTCAGTTTACTGTATGTGTGGAGGATCAGCGTTGTCACCCTGGAACAGGAAGTGTATTAGGACTACAGACCCCTCACGCTATAGAGTAAGAAGAGAAGGAGGTGTTCTATAGTCCTAACTCACTTCCTGTCTCAGGGTGACAACGCTCACTCATTGTACTGTATGGAGGAGCAGCATTGTCACCCAGGGGCAGGAAGTATGTCAGAATTATAGAGCACCTCCCCCTCTCTTTTCATCTCTATAACATAAAGGTGTTCTAACACACTTCCTGTCCTAGGGTGACAACACTCAATTTACTGTACATTGGGAGGATCAGCGTTGTCACCCCGGAACAGGAAGTGTATTAGGACTACATAACCCCTCACGCTATAGATGTGAGATGAGAAGGAGGTGTTCTATAGTCCTAACTCACTTCCTGTCTCAGGGTGACAACGCTGATCCTCCATACAGTACAGTGAGTGAGCGTTGTCACCTTCGGTCTACAGGAAACTTCCCCTTCAGGAAGTGTAGTAGGACTAATGATCCCCTCCTTCCACTTTATATGGAGATAAGAATAGAGAAGGTGTTATGTAGTCCTAACACACTTCCTGTTCCAAAGTGACAACACTGCTCTTCCTCAGATCATGTGTAAGTGCCTGACTCTGACCTAGTATCAGCCTCTTGCATTCCCTGTACAGCAGGGCTGGAGTGTGAGAGGAAGAAGCAGCACCAGCAGCCAATCAGCTCATATGCTGACAAGAAACATGCTGATAGCAGGAGAAAGCAGAGTGACAAGAGAGGTGAGCTTAGCAGTTTGCTGCTTCTCCTTTCACTGCCCAATCACAGACAGGGGGAGGGACAAGACTTGTAAGTGTTAATCAACTAGAGCATAGAAATATCAGGTCTCCTGCCTTGCAATACTGGGCTGGGTTGTGTGGCAACAGCTGTGTAAATGTCAGGACTGGATGGACAGTGATAGCCAGGGGTTGTCGATAGCCCCTGGCTATCAGACAGCAGTACAAATTCCTTATCAGGTAGAGCAGATCCTATATATGTATTGTATTGGTGTATATAGCTGTTTGCCTGGAGTTCAGCCTTTAGGCCTTGTTCACACTTGCTTCAAAATGTGGCATCGAACACATTTTTTTAACCTCTTCCTTGCCCGTGTATATAAACAGCCGGACGGGAGCGCTGCCGAAGCGGGTGGACGTTTCTAAACGTCCCTCCGCATCCATTGCCTGTTTGCGCTCCCTGGGAGGGTGCAGCACCATGACCAGTGCTCTCTGTGTCCAGAGGAACACAGATCGCTGTACGTGACCTCTGTGCAAGGTCCCGATCATGTGATCTCTGATTGGCCAATCAGTGATCACATGAAGAGTAGTAAGCAAGATGTCACTTCCTGACATCATTGCTTACTACTTGTGAAATCTGTGAATGATCACAGAGGTCACATGGCACAAGGCTATTCACAAAAGCCTTGTACCATGTGACAAGCTGAGACCAATCACAGCTCACACAGTATTTCTCAATGGCTGCAGGAATGCAGCCAGAGAGAAGGAGAAATGATTGCTTTTACAGCCTTTATGGGTGTAAAAGCAATCAGTGTAAAAAAAGAAATCTTCATCACCCCCCACAAGTAGTACAGTATCACTATGGTGACACTGTACTGCTAGGGTGACAGTATGTTAAAAAAACATAAATAATAATATAAAAAAAAAATAAAAATGTAAAATAAATTTGAAAAATTATACTTTTTTGGATATAAACTAACTTGGTTTTTTTTTTTTTTTACTAAAAAGATAGATGAATATATTTAGGCCAAGATTTATGAAGAAAGATTATTTATTTGTAAAATTGAGGGGAACTGGGAGTTACTACTGAGCAGGGGGATCAAGAATGCTGGGGGTTACTACTGAGCAGGGGGATCAACAGAGCTGGGGGTTACTACTGAGCAGGGGGTCAGAAGAGCTGGGGGTTAGTACTGAGCGAGGGATCAGAAGAGCTGGAAATTACAACTGAGCAGGGGGATCAACAGACCTGAGGGTTACTACTGAGTAGGGGATCATCAAAGCTGGAGGTTACTACTGAGCAGGGGGTCAGCAGAGATGGGGGTTACTACTGAGTGGGGATCATCAAAGCTAGGGGTTACTACTGAGCTGGTGATCAGAAGAGCTGGGGGTTACTACTGAGCAGGGAATCAGTAAAGCTAGGGGTTCCTACAAAGTGGGAGTTCGTCAGAGCTGAGGGTTACTACTGAGCGGACAATCAGCAAAGCTGTGGGTTACTACTGAGCAGGGGATCTGCAGAGCTGGGGGTTACTACTGAGAAGGGGATAATGTCAAAGAGTACTGTATATGTGGTGGGTAAGCCTGGGGTAAAATTCCCTCTGGAGGTACCATCCCTGTAAATTGAATATGAACACAATGTTTATGATTTGGAACTATAAATGTATTTCCTTAGGTATAATACCAAAGAGAATATCAATTAATAAAAACAGTATTTTATTGTAATGCCCAGCTCTGCTGATCACCCCCCCCGATCAGCAGAGCTGGGCGTTACTATTGAACTGGGGGTTACTATTGAGTGGGGAATCAGAAGAACTGGTGGTTACTGCTGAGTGGGGGATATGCAGAGCTGGGGGTAACTACTAAGCAGGGCATCAGCAGGGCTGAGGGTTACTCTGAGCAGGGGGATCAGCAGAGCTGAGGGTTACTACCGAGTGGGGTATCAGCAAAGCTGGGTTGTTCTACTGAGCAGGGGATCAGCAGAGCTGGGGGTTACTACTGAGCGGGGGATCAGCAAAGCTGGGGTTACTACTGAGCGGGGGGGATCAGCAAAGCTGGGGTTACTACTGAGCGGGGGGATCAGTAAAGCTAGGCATTACTACTGAGTGGGGGATCAGCAGAGCTGGAGGTTACTACAGAGCAGGGTATCAGCAAAGTTAGGGTTACTATGGAGCAGGGGATCAGCAAAGCTAGACGTTACTACTGAGATGGGGGTCAGCAGAGCTGGGGGCTACTACTACAGAGTAGGGGATCAGCAAAGTTAGGGGTTACTATGAAGCAGGGATCCAGCAAAGCAGGGCATTACTACTGAGTGGGGGATCAGCAGAGCTGAGGGTTACTACTGAGCAGGGGGTCAGCAAAGCTGGGGGCTACTACTGAGCAGAGGATCAGCAGGGCTGGGAGTTACTATTGAGCGGAGGGATCAGCAAAGCTGGGGTTACTACTGAGCGGGGAATCAGCAAAGCTAGGCATTACTACTGAGTGGGGGTCAGCAGAGCTGGGGGTAACTACGGAGTAGGGGATAAGCAAAGTTGGGGGTTACTACTGAGCGGGAGGATCAGCAGAGCTGGGGGTGACTACTGAACAGGGGATCAGCAAAGCTGGGGTTACTACTGAGCAGGAATCAGCAGAGCTAGTAATTACTACTGAGCAGGGGATCAGCAAAGCTGGGGTTACTACTGAGCGGGGAATCAGCAAAGCTAGGCATTACTACTGAGTGGGGGTCAGCAGAGCTGGGGGTAACTACGGAGTAGGGGATAAGCAAAGTTGGGGGTTACTACTGAGCGGGAGGATCAGCAGAGCTGGGGGTGACTACTGAACAGGGGATCAGCAAAGCTGGGGTTACTACTGAGCAGGAATCAGCAGAGCTGGTGGTTACTACTGAGCAGGGGATAAGCAAAGTTAAAGAAACCACCAATACGTGTAAATTCATTGGTTTGCGTGGAAGTTATAGCGTCTACAAATGGCGGTATAGATACTGGGATTCTTTTAAATTAATTTTTTTTATTAGTAATGGCGGCGATCAGCGACTTATAGCGGGACTGTGGCGGGCATTCTGACACTGGGGGGAACGGACTTGGTGTCACTGACAATTCCCAGTGACACCAATACAGTGATCAGTACTAATAAAAATCACTGACCCTGTACAATGGCACTGGGTAGGACGGGGTTAACATAAGAAGCGATCGAAGGGTTAACTGTGTGCTGTTTTACTGTGTGTTCTGTGTGTGCTTTACACTGTAAGCAGCTGCTTTGCAGAGCCATACAAAGCAGTGTGCTGGAGCTGACAGGGGAGAGATCTGTATTGTTTACACACAGGTCTTTCCTTTGTCATTAGTGCTGGCCATACATGGTTCGAATTCCGAACGATTTTTCTTCCGAAAATTGGAAATGTCATTCGCCTGGTAATCCGATGGTGCCATCACTGATTTCAAAAATCGGCCGACCAAGTCATAAAGTTCACCCCATATAACAGTCGACACTTCTGTTCCTTCCAGGTCACAGCTCATGCGCATATTCTTTTCGGAAAAATGATCGTACGATTCGACCATCATTGAGCTTTAAATCGGTCGTTTTTCACGCATTTTCCAACATGCTCGATCACCGAAAAGGGGAGGAACCACAAAAATTGGCCAGTGCCATTGACCCCACTAACAGAGCGAAAATCGGCCGATTATTCTTTTCGATTGATTCGATTGATTTTCGACCCATGTTTGGCCGGCCTTGTACTTGGAGATCGCCAGGTGCTGGCGGGGAATCACTGGCCGAGACCCAGTGATTGACAGCCGAGACCACGAATGGAAGCGCAGGTAGGGCGCCCGCGTGCCCCCTACCCAGGACTGCAAAATCTCGTGTGTGTGTGTGTATATATATATATATATATGATTTTGCGCACCCGTGCCGCCCTGTAGCAGTATTTCTGTAAGAGGTTAAAGCTTCAAAACAGCATGACAGCAGCATCAAAAACATCTAAAAAGCATGTTGAAGAGGTCGGCTCCTTAATGTGTTAAAGTCAAAGCAAGTACAAATGGAAAGTTTTCCGCACTCCTGCGTCTTGCTTTGTATCGGTCAACCATCATTAAGGATTTCCCGCCGCTGGTCGTTCTGTGTAATTGTTGTGCTTCCCTTTCGGTTGATATTTTGCCCTCTCTGTACAAAATACAATCTGTTCGCATTGACAAGCCAAGATTTAATAAATGGCTTTGCCCAAACTGGAAGGAAGAGAGACTAATTACTTTGCGGAGACGTTACCCGTGGGATCCTCGCGCTCTTTTTTTTGTTGCGGGCGGAGGGGAGTCATCGGGTTCACCGCGCACACCGCCGATGCAGCTACTGCAGATGTAACGATTAAAAGGAAAACTTTAAATTTGCTAAAAGCTCGCGTATATCAGAGCCGCGCAAGTCGTTTTGTAATTTCATTTTGCCGAAATGGTTTTGCATTTAATCTGCGACCAGCTGTGCTTTTCTAAAATACGCCAAATTAAAAGTAAAAAAAGTTTTTTTTTTCTTGCAGCCATGGCAACAGGATACGGTTTGTAGTCGGAGTTTTCAGAAGCCTTATCTTCCCCGGCCGATGACTGGCTGCTGCTGTTCTCACTGCAATGCGCAGTGTTCAGGTGGCAGGGATTCTATTGCATGGAATACGGCATCCCCGGCTCTCTTCATGGGTTCACCGCACTCGTGGTATTGCTAAAGGGATGCCAGGGGTGCAGTGCTTCTTATAAGTGGGACTGATCATGGGATCGGCACAACCTTCAAAACTGCATTTACTTGACATTAGATAACACTCCTTCAAATGCACTGGCATGGTCTTTCTGTGTATCTCTGGGACAGAAGCAAGTAAGGATCTGGAATAACTTTGGTTCTGATCCTGGTAATAAATGGAGCTGATCTAGAATGCGTCGCTTCTTTCTGAACAATACCAGAGCTTCACTGTAAGGTGCAAATTGCGACATACAAATGGGATTAAAGTGGTCCTAAGGGCTGAAGTTTTTTACCTTCATGTATTCTAAAAAAAAAAAAGGAAACCTTTTGTATCTAGCCCCCCCCCAAAGCCCCTCCTTTATACTTGCATAAGCCTGATCTCGATCCAGCTTTGTGCATAAGAGCAGCACCTTTCTGTCCCTCCTCACAGGGCAGATCACTAGCAGCGGAAGCCATTTGCTTCTGCTGCTGTCAATCAAAATATGTGATGACGGAGCAGGGGGCGGGGCCGTGCCCCACTGTCTGTGTCTATGGGGGCACTGCATGAAGAGGAGGAGCCAGGAGCACTGGCAGGGGACCCGAGAAACGGAGGATAGGTGCTGCTCTGTGCAACATTATTACACAGAGCAGGTAAGTATAACATGTCTGTTACTTTGTAAAAAAAAATAAAATATATATATATATATATATGTACCTCGGTTTACGAACGCCTCAGTTAACGTAATTTTTGGTTTACAAATAAAAATCCACTGAAAATAATGGCTCAGTTTACAAATTGTTTTTGTGCAATCCGAATGGATTAATTGGTTTTCAATGCATTTCCAAAATTTTTTTTAATCATGTCCCTGTAAAGTACTATGCCTTTAAAGTGCACTTTATAAAGAGTTTTGAACAGATATGACTTTTTTTTTACTTTTTTCTGACCTCCGGAACGGATTATTTGGTGTTCAATGCATTCCTATGGGATACCACGTTTCGGTTTTACAAATGTTTCGTAATACGAAACGTTCCGGAGAACGCATTAAATTTGTAAACCGAGGTATGTGTGTGTGTATATGTATGTATGTATGTATATATATATATATATATATATATACATACACACACGCTATATTGCCAAAAGTATTGGGCCAGCCCTCTAAATCATGTGATTCAGGTGTTCCAATCACCTCCATGGCCACAGGTGTATAAAATCATCACCTAGGCATGCAGACTGCTTCTACAAACATTTGTGAAAGAATGGGTCACTCTCAGGAGCTCAGTGACTCCAAGCGTGGTACCGTGATAGGTTGTCACCTGTGCAATAAGTCCATTTCCTGGCTGCTAAATATTCCACGGTCAACTGTTAGTGGGATTATAACAAAGTGGAAGCAACTGGGAACAACAGCAACTCAGCCACCAAGTGGTAGGCCACGTAACATGACAGAGTGGGGTCAGTGCATGCTGAAGTGCACAGAAGTCACCAACTGTCTGCAGAGTCAATAGCTAAAGACCTCCAAACTTCATGTGGCCTTCAGACTAGCACAACAGTGTGTAGAGAGCTTCATGGAATGGGTTTCCATGGCCGAGCAGCTGCATCCAAGCCTTACATCACCAAGTGCAATGCAAAGCGTCAGATGCTGTGGTGTAAAGCACGCCGTCACTGGACTCTAGAGCAGTGGAGACGTGTTCTCTGGAGCGACCAATCACACTTCTCTGTCTGGCAATCTGATGGACATGTCTGGGTTTGGCAGTTGCCAGGAGAACGGTACTTGCCTGACTACATTATACCAAGTATAAAGTTTGGTGGAGGGGGGATTATGGTGTGGGGTTGTTTTTCAGGGGTTGGGCTTGGCCCCCTAGTTTCAGTGAAGAGAACTCTTAAGGCGTCAGCTTCCCAAGACATTTTGGACAATTGTACGCTCCCAACTTTGTGGGAACAGTTTGGGGATTGGAACTCCTTTCCTCACACAAAGACAGCATGTGAGGAAAGGACTGCCAATAACTAGCAAGTCTGTTTACATGTGATCAGCCTAGATTGAACACAGCTGATCACATGGTAAAGGGCTGCTGCGATTAGCCCCTTACTCTGATCTGTGATCAGTTTTGTCCAAAGGACACAGCAGTCACAGAGCGTGCCTGATGCATGCCCAAGGGCACTGTCTGTCTGAGCAGCTTCTCCATTACATATAGACCACAGTGGGCGCTCACCAGCATTCATTGAATACCCTATATTGTTTTCAGCAGATACAAGGTGTTCTCTGATTGGATGAGGTGGAGAAGAGGGGTGGCAACTTCATGATCTCCACCTCATCCAATCAGAGAACACCTTGTATTCAGTGAAACAATTTACAAAGCTTTCTATAGATGGAGGCAATGGGGAGCGAGCGGCAGTATGCAGAGGGGCAGCTGCTTCCAGAGGACCCGGAAGAATCATGGTGAACCAGGGCTTTTTTTCAACGGGAATGCGGGGGAATGCAGTTTTGGCACCTCCAGCACTGAATGTATCTAATGGCAAGGGTTGTGGGGTGTGCTGGAGGGGATCTAATCTTGTACTTTGTACTGCCTGTTTGGGCATCTATATCTTCTGCTGCTGGGGGTCTATTGCTGCTGGGGGTAGTATGGGGGGGGGGGGTGATTGTTATAAAGTATATTAATAAAGGGGATGTATTGTTGCTGGGGTCGTATATTTTGTTGGGGGGGGGTATTTTTGTGGGGGTATTGTTATCTGTGATGGTGTATTTTTGATGGGGGGGTCTATTGTTGAGGGAGTCTTCTTCTTTGCTGGGGGAGGGATCTACTGTTGATTGAGAGGTCTATTGATGATAGGTGCTTGGATATCTTCTGTTGTTGCTGGGGGTCTATTGCTGCTATAGAGGGGATAGTAGTATTTTGTTGTGGGGGGGGGGGGGGGATTGTGGGGTAGTATTATGTTGTTTGGGTGGGGTCTATTGTTGTAGAGGGGATGTAAGTGGGTCTATTGTTGTAGAGGGGATGTATTGTTGGGGGTACTATTTTGATGTGTGTGGGGGATCTATTGTTGTAGAGGGGATGTATTCTTGCTGGGGTTAAGTCATTTTGTTCTGGGGGAGGTCTATGTTGTAGGGGGGGATCTATTGTTGTTGGGGTGGGGGGTCTATTGTTGTAGAGGGGATGTATTTTGGGGTAGTATTTTGTTGGGGGGGGGTCTATTGTTGTAGAGGGGATGTATTGTTGCTGGGGTACAGTATTTTGTTGTGGTATTAGAGGGGGTCTATCATTGTTGTAGAGGGGATGTATTGTTGCTGGGGGTAGTGCCTCGTATTTTGTTGTAGGGGATCTATTGGTGTCAGTTAGTTGTAGAGTGGGAGGAAATAGTGCCCCATCATTGGTGTCAGTGTGAGGAATAGTGTCCATCATTGGTATCAGTGAATAGTGCCTCATCATTGGTATCAGTGGGAGGAATAGTGTTCATTGGTGTCAAAGGGGGGGTCAGTGGGAGGAAATAGTGTTATTTTGTGGGGAATATGCCCGATTATCAGTATTTTGGTATAGAGGGGATCTATTGTTACCTAGTCACAACAAAATGGTACTTGGCTCTGTATTCTCTAAAAAGGGCGGTATAGGAGGAACCAAAGAACGGTGCCCCATCATCGGTATCAGTGGGTAGGGTGCCCATCAAGGGGTATTCAGTAAGAGAAATAGTGCCCCATCAATCGGGGTTGTCAGTGGAGGGAATAGTGCCCCTCACCTATAGAGGGGAGGGGCCTCATCATTGGTATCAGTTGCTGGGGAATAGTGCCCCATCCATTTTGTTCAGTGGGGGGGTCTATTGTTGTAGAGGGGATTGTGTCAGTTGGGGGAGGAATAGTTATAGCTGTCAGTGGGGTAGTGTCATTGTTGTCAGTGGGGGAATAGTGCCCCATCATAGGTGTCAGTGGGGGGAATAGTATTGTTGCCCCATCCTTTGTAGAGGGATGTATCCTTTGTTGAATAGTGCCCCATCCTTGGTGTCAGTGGGGGGAGGATTAGTGCCCCATCCTTGGTGTCAGTGGGGGAGGAATCTATTGTGTGTAGGAGGGGATGTATTGTTGCTGGGGGAATAGTATTTTGTGTGTTGGGGGTAGTATTGTTGTAGAGGGGATGTATTCTTGCTGGGGTAGATGTCTTTTGTTCTCGGGGGGTGTCGCTCGGCTCCTCCTCTCCAAGTCTATTGTATGTGCCTCTCCTGAGCTACAGTGCCGGGATCACAGGCGAGGATTGATCTCGAGGTGTGTATGACAGGGGAGGCATGTCATCCTGTATTGTTGCTGGAGTAAGTCGGAAATATTGTTTTGATGGGGGGGGCGTCGTTCGACCCCCAGGTTGAGAACCGCTGTTGTAGAGGGATATATTGTTTCTGGGGTTGTATTTTGTTTTGGGGGGGTCTTATTGTTGTAGAGGGGATCTATTGTTGCTGGAAGGGATATATTGTTGTGGAGGGTCTATTGTTGCTGGCTGAAGAGGTCTGTTTTACTACTTTTCTTGTTATCATTCCATACACATTACTTAGCACCACAAAATTATATTTGGCTCTGTATTCTCTAAAAATGAGCAGTACAGGGAGGTGGGTAGGGGGTGGAACCAAGGGACGGTGTTTGGAGGTGGGTAGGGGGTGAAACCAAGGGACAGTGCTCGGAGGTGGGTAGGGGGTGGAACCAAGGGACGGTGTTCGGAGGTGGGTAGAGGAGTGGAACCAAGGGACGGTGCTCAGAGGTGGGTAGAGAGTAGGGGGTGGAACCAAGAGACGGTGCTCGGAGGTGGGTAGAGGGTAGGGACGGTGTTCGGGCAGAGACAAGGGACGGTGCTCGGTGGGTAGGGGGTGTGGAACCAAGGGACGGTGTTCGGAGGTGGGTAGAGGGTGGAACCAAGGGACGGTGCTCGGAGGTGGGTAGACAAGGGAGTAGGGGGTGGAACCAAGGGACGGTGCTCGGAGGTGGGTAGAGAGTGGAACCAGGAGATGGTGCTCAGAGGTGGGTAGAGGGTGGAACCAAGGGACGGTGCTCGAATGTGGGTAGAGGGTGGAACCAAGGGACGGTGCTTGGAGGTGGGTAGGGGGTGGGGGTGGAACCAAGGGACGGTGCTCGGAGGTGGGTTTTAGAGGGTGGAACCAAGGGACGGTGCTCGGAGGTGGGTAGGCGGCAGAGACAAGGGACGGTGCTCGGAGGTGGGTAGAGGGTGGAACCAAGGGACGGTGCTCAGGGGTGGGTAGGGGGCAGAGACCAGGGGTGATTCAGGAAGGAGGAGTTCCTTCACCTATTCTCTGAGAAAAGAATCCCTGCGGTGAACATTGTAGTAGTCAGCGCTACTACAGTGGTGTGAGATGTGCATGCTATATACATATTTCACCAAGTTGGACCAATGTGAGTCTGCAATAAAGGTCATAGATGGAGTCCATAGACACAGTGGAGGAATGAGCATGGACACAAAGGGACAGGTAGCTGAAAATAAAAGAACACAAGCCTGAAAAAATAAAACCAATGCAGCCACCACATCTACAGAATGGTAAGCTGCAATTTATGACATTTTGGGTTTAGATACAACACTGTGACCACCCACCATAACATGACTGTGGACTCCACTGGACCCCTGTAGGTATGCTGTTGTATGTGGCATCAAGCTATCAGTAAGCAGATCCTTTAAGTCCTGTAAGCTGCAAGGTGGGGCCTCCATGGATCGGAATTGTCTTTCCAACACACCCCACAGATGTTTTATTGGGTTGAGATATGGAGAATTTGGAGGCCAAGTCAACACCTCAAACTAATTGTATTCCTCAAACCATTCTTGAATTCATCAGACCAGACCAGGCTACCTTCTACCTTTTTTTCTTTGTGACATGTGCAGAACAAAAAGTGTTTAATTTAGTTTTGGGTCGATTCGTTAAGTTACTAGTTTCATTTCATTGCATTTGTAAGGAAATTTGTTTTGTTTAGTTTTGTTTCATTTATTCATTTTCAACCAGATTCAAATTTTTCCAATGAGTTTGAATTATTCAAATTGAGTTTGAATCAAAAATATTGAATCGAAACACATTCTATTCTAAGTTTGGAAGATGGTAATATTCTTTTTATATTATTCTATTCTATACTTTTATTTTCTATTCCATTTTAGTATATTCTTTTATTTTCTATTTTTATTCTGTTTTACTCTATTCTGTTTTATTTTGCTCTATTCTTTTGGAAATTAAAATGTCAGAAGACAGCTATATTCTATTCTTTTATTTTCGGTTCTTTTATTTCTATTGTATTCCTTTATTTTCTATTCCATTATATTCTATTCTTTTCTATTCTGTTCTGTTTTATGTTTTTCTTATTCTTTTTCTATTCTTTTCTCTTCCTTTATTTTCTTTTTTATTCTATTCCTTTATTTTGTGTTCTATTATATTCTGTACTGTTTTACACTATTATTTTCTATTCTGTTTTAATCTATTCTATTCTGCAGACCGGGAACATCCCACAAGAGCTGCAGTTTTGGCTGCCCATGACCCTGTTGGTTTCCCTTCCTTGGACCACTTTAGGTCAGTCCTGACCACTGCAGATTGGGAACATCCCACAAGAGCTGTAGGTTTGGCTGCCCATGACCCTGTTGATTTTTCTTCCTTGGACCACTTTTGGTCGGTCCTGACCACTGCAGACCGGGAACATCCTACAATAGCT